TCGGATGACTTCAGATCCTCCATGGTGACTTACTAGAAATCAAACAGACAGCCTAGTGGAAGATTACACCACTGGGCCTGTGCTCTGCAAAGATGCGAAATCACAATGCATAATGCCAATTATGATGAAATGTTTTTCACCCAACATTATGTAAAAGGGCTCAAAGAAGAAATTAGGGGAATGGTAGAGGCCCAAATGCCTACTACAGTGCTCAAAGCCTCAACATTAGCAAAAAAGTACAGCAGAAAGTAATAGATGAGGGAAGACCAAATACACAAGAGCTCCATATCAAGCAAGAACACCTCACTACAACAAGATGGACACCAAAATACAAACCTCTAACCTATGGAATGATAGGCGGTTGAGGGATTATAGAAAAGCCAATGGCTTATGCTTTCATTGTGGTGAGAAATTTATACCGGCCATCTAGAGGTCTCACGTACCAAAAGAAACAAGCCCAAACTCAATGCTTTAGCCATTAATGATCCGGACCGAGAGCTCACCGATGAGGTTCTCAATGACTTGGCAAAGCAGAAGATGCAATTTGCATGAGGAATTTTGCCAATTGTCCTTGAATGCTATTTCTACAAGGGACAAAGCAGATTGCATCAAACTCGTAACTAGAGTCAAAGATAAGACAATGCTCATTCTGATTGATAGTGGGAGCACTCATAGCTTCATAAGTACTCAATTTGTCCAGATGGCTAATCTTCATACTATTCCTATCCCTCCAAGGCAAGTGAAACTTCCCAATGGTGCCAACATGGTTACTAATCAGCTAGTTCCCAATTTGCAATGCTATTGTCAAGGACAAAGCTTCGTAAGCAGATATATGGTGGTCTTGGATATGCAGCCATATGATGCTATACTGGGATGTGACTGGCTCAAGTCACATAGCCCTCTAGAATTCGATTGGCAGCTTAAAACAATGAAATTTGCTGAACAAGGCAAGTCTATCACTCTGCAAGGCATCAGGGAACCTGACTTGCAGTTGTCATCGATGTCAGCTACTCAACTGTACAATGCATCTAAAGGCAATGACATATGGGCTTTTGTAGTGGTTCATCAAGAGTCCCACAAATCTGACCACACCACTCAGAAACAGCAAGCCCACTCAGAGGCTTTACAACACCTATTGGCATTGTACAAGGATATCTTCACTGATCCACAGTGCCTCCCACCTAGAAGGGCCTATGATCATGCCATCTCATTACTGCCTGGTTCCACACCCATCAATGCCAAACCCTATCATTACTCCCCACTACACAAGACAGAGATTGAAAACCAAGTGCAACAACTATTACAAGCTGGTCTGATTACACATAGTCATAGTCCTTTTGCTTCCCCTGTTCTCCTAGTTAAGAAAAAGGATGGTACTTGGAGATTCTGTGTCGACTACAGAAAACTCAATGACATGACAATCAAAAACAGATTCCCAATGCCAATCATTGAAGAAATCTTGGATGAGCTTACAGGAGCCAAGGTATTCACTAAACTGGATATGAAGGCTGGTTATCATCAGATCAGGATGCTGCCAGAGGATGAATTCAAAACAACATTTAAAACCCATCAAGGGCACTACCAATTCAAAGTTATGCCTTTTGGATTAACAAATGCACCAGCAACATTTCAATGCATCATGAATGAAATCCTTAAACCATTCTTGAGAAAATTTGTTCTAGTTTTCCTAGATGACATCCTCATCTTCAGTCCATCCATGGAAGCTCATGTGGACCATCTTGAGCAAGTCTTTGCAACTTTGAGAAAGCACCAGTTGTATCTCAAGGAATCCAAATGCACTTTTGCCAAGGACAGTCTGGAATATTTAGGGCATATTATAGGAGCCCAAGGAGTCTCAACTGATCCCAGCAAGATCACTGATATGCTCAAATGGCCTGTCCCACAGACAATGACTGAACTCAGGGCATTCCTAGGCCTCACAGGATATTATAGAAAATTTGTTAAAGATTATGGTAGACTGTCCAAACCTCTTACACAAATACTCAGACTCAAGACATTTGTTTGGAACCAGCATGCTCAGGCAGCATTTGAGGCACTGAAAACAGCAATGACTCACACACCAGTATTGGCTCTACCAAATTTCAATGAGACCTTTACAAAGAGAAAGCGATGCTTGTGTTGATGGTATTGGTCGCGATCTTCGATGCAAAAAGGGCAACCTGTTGCTTATTTGAGTAAAGCACTTGGAGAAAAACACAAAGGACTGTCAATTTATGAAAAAGAATTTCTAGCATTGATCATGGCAGTAGACAAGTGGAGGCATTACCTAGAAAGGGTGAATTTCGTGATACAAACCGATCATAGATCCTTAGCTTACTTGAGTCAACAAAACCTTCACTCGACATGCAAAGAAAGGCTATGACCAGGATGATGGGCCTCCATTTCACAATCAAGTACAAGAAGGGCAAAGAGAACATGGGTGCTGATGCCCTATCAAGGGTAGGTCATTTGATGGCACTACAAGCAGTATCCACAGTTCAGCCAGCCTGGGCCCAAGAAGTCAAAAACTCCTATGTTCATCGACTCCCAAGCACAGGAGATGCTCGTAACTCTAGCCATCACCATCCCCGACCACCGTGGATACACTTTAGACAAGGGCATCATTTGGTTTCAAGGCAAAGTCTGGATTGGCGATGAATTCAAAGACTTCAAACCAAACTCATTGCGATACCGCCACTCCAAAGGCATTAGGGGGCCACTCAGGGGTAGCAGCAACCTATCACAGACTCAAAAGGCACTTTGCTTGGAAAGGAATGAAAAATGATGTGGATAATTTCATCAAGCAATGCAACACTTGCCAGCAAGCCAAGCACTCACTTCAGCATCCCATGGGCCTCCTGCAACCCCTCCCTATTCCTACAGGTATATGGCAAGATATAACTATGGATTTCATAGAAGGATTACCAAAGTCCCAAGGATACAAAGTGTCATCCTAGTGGTGGTCGATGATTGACTAAATATGCCCACTTTATAGCTATCAAACATCCATACACATTTGCCTCCATAGCTAAAACATTCATGGAAAATGTGGTCAAATTGCATGGCATGCCTAAATCCATAGTGACAGATAGAGATACCATATTTGTCAGTCAATTTTGGAAAGAATTCTTCAAGGCATACAAGGTAAACCTCAAATTCAGCACTGCTTACCATCCACAAACAGATGGGCAGTCAGAAAGGGTGAACCAGTGTTTAGAAATGTATCTCAGATGTGTTGTTCATGACTCCCCTCAAACCTGGAAATCATGGTTACCACTTGCTGAACTTTGGTATAACACATCTCTCCATTCTTCTTTGGGATGCACTCCTTTCAAAGCCCTATATGGCCATGACCCTGACCTGGGTCTGTTACCTACTACAACTCAGACAACCTCAGTTTCAGTGACTGAGCAGATTGAGAACAGGGAACAGCACATTCAAGCCCTCAGACAACATCTAGCAAGAGCACAGAACAAGTTCAAAATACAGGCAGACAAACACAGAACAGATCATCAGTTTGCTGTCGGTGACAAAGTATTATTGAAGTTGCAACCATATACACAATCCACTGTGGCAAACAGGCCATATCCCAAACTATCATACAAATACTATGGACCATTTACTGTCATCCAGAGAATTGGTCAAGTAGCATACAAGTTGGAACTCCCACCAGACGCTCAAATACACTCAGTCTTCCATATCTCACAGTTGAAACCATACACACAAGATTACACACCTGTATATGATACACTGCCAGTTTTGACAGATCTTGAAGCTGCAGATACCGTACCAAGGGCGATCCTGGAGCATCGCATGGTGAAGAAGGGCAATGCAGCAATTCCTCAAGTGAAGCTCCAGTGGGTCGGCCTGCCAGACTCGATGACCACCTGGGAAGACTACTACGTGGTCAAGCATCGGTTCCCTACAGCGCCGGCTTGGGGGCAAGCGACAAGTCAAGGCGGGGGAGGTGTCAGCCCAGGTGCACCGGCTGCCACTGAGTGAGCTGCCGGAAGCCGTCATCTGCAGAAGCAAACACATTTAGCTGTTTACGTTTTCATTCTTGTATGACATTGTGGGCCCACAGGCCAGAAACTGTATGGCACTTAAGTGCCCGTGACTCTGTAAGACGATCATCGATTATCAAATACCAAACAGCACGCCAAGGCAGAGGGGCAACCTCGCCGGCGTCAGGGTTCTCCGGCCGAATCCGTTGTCGTGCTCACGTTGCGGTGACCCGCCGCTGCCAAGGGCTGACAGTCAGGCGGGGCGCGACCGTTGAAGCAGGAGACCCGAACCGAGCCTGTTCCCCGCTGCAACGCCTGCCTCGGCGTCCGGGCATCCAGGGGCGGATTTGCGCCCTGGGCTGCCCGGGTTACAGCCCGGGGGAAGGCCCAATAGCTGTGGAAAGTGAAAAACACATAAAACGGCCTGGCAGCCCAATAGCCAACCCCGACAGGATGACAGCCCAGCAACAATGAACCCTAGCCCTTGGCCGCAGGCCCGCAGAAAGCGAGCAGCCCGACTCGGCCTGCTCGGCTCTTTGCCTCTGCGCCTCGCTCCCTGCCCCCGCCTCCCCGACTCCGACTCGCGACGGGGATCCCCTCGCGACACGGCGACGGCGCCCGCTCGCGCTCCGACTCCGGCCTCCGCGCCCGGCCCCCGTCTCCCCGCCGGCCGCGGCCCCTTCCGCGGTCCTGCCGGCCGCGCGCCGCGCGGCTGCCCCCGCCGCTGCCGGCTGCGGCCCCGCCCGAGCCACCCGAGACCAGGGCGGGCGTCGCCATCGTAGCCACGGAAAAGGAGACGCTGGAAGGCCCGGAACAAGCGAGATATTTCAAGGGCGCCTTTTTGGCGCGACCCCACGACATGGCGGCATATCTACTCCACAGTCTACACATGCCTTTAAACCTTTCGCCCTCCTCCGCGCTCTCGGCTCCTCCCAGCAGCAGCCTTATCCCCTTCACTCGGTGTCCGCCACCTCCTTCCAGCTGGGTGGAAGAACCATGTCACGAATGGCGGCCCCGTCTCCGCCTCTGTCCATGAAGCCCCCGACGCTGCCCTTCTCCCCGCCCAAGAAGCCACCGCCGATGCCGGTGTACAAGGACCTGCACTTCAACCTCGACCTCTCCGCCACCAAGAAGCTCCAGGCCGGAGTGGACCTGGTGGCGCGGTTGCTGGGGGTCACCCTGGGGCCCAAGGGGAGGAACGTGGTGCTTGGCAACAAGTATGGTCCTCCTAAGATTGTCAATGACGGGGAGACCGTCCTTAAGGAGGTAACGCCATGCTTCCAGAAATTATCTCTTCCTCGAAATAACAGTATGCAGTTATTCAGTTATACTTGATCTGGATTGAACGAATCGCATGATGAAGTGAAGGCACAAAACGAGTTGTTCACTCCACTGATTACTGTTCAATTATTGATCGATCTTGTTATCTTATTTGCAATGTTATATCTTTTTTCACTCTGTTCTGAACACAAGTGGAAACTGCAATTTGTTATTTTTGTGGGCTTCCGGCACTAATATAGTAATATATGAGATGTTCTCGTTCTTTCCCGATCATGTCCTTTTTTAAAAACAAATTCCTGATCATGTCCTAATACTTCCAATGGCCGTGCATTAATCACATTGTATGGTTCAAGATCGAATTGGAAGATCCATTAGAAAATCTTGGAGTGAAGCTGGTCCGACAGGCTGGAGCAAGGACCAATGATATTGCAGGAGATGGTTGTACCACATCCATAATCCTTGCTCAAGGCCTCATTGCTGAAGGAATGAAGGCATGCCTTTCTCTTCTCTAACTAGTTTTCTACAATGTGAGCTCTGGTAACAGCGAAAAAAGTTGCTATGATGAAGTTGTTGATACAAAGATTCTGATTTCTGAGTCCTGATCCTGCATTGCTTCTTATGATTGTTTCATAAAGTAGGTTCTTGCAGCTGGAATCAATCCAGTCCAGGTTGCACGTGGCATTGAGAAGACTGCTGCTGCTTTGGTGTCTGAACTCAGAGTGATGTCGCGGGAGGTGTGATTTTCAAGTTTGAACATTTTTTTTTGTGTGTGTGTAAATCCACTGTAAAAATATCTTAGTGGTGTGTAACCTGTTGTTTTCTAGATTGAAGACCATGAAATTGCACATGTGGCTGCAGTTAGTGCGGGAAATGATTATGCTGTTGGAAATATGATTTATGATGCTTTTCAAAGAGTAGGTAGAAAAGGAATGGTGAAAATTGAAAATGGAAGAGGCACCGAGAACAGTCTGGAGGTTGTGGAAGGAATGCAGTTTGAACGCGGTTACCTCTCTCCTTACTTTGTTACCAATCGTGGTAATATGACGGTGGAGTTCACTGACTGTCAGGTGCGAGTTCTATTCCTCTTATACAATGTTCTGCAGAAAAATTAGAAGAGTTACTACATCTTGCATTTGCAGATACTATTTGTTGACAAGAAAATTACTGATGCTAGTGAGATTATAAGGATACTTGACAGTGCTGTCAAAGAAAATTATCCGTTGTTAATAATTGCTGAGGATGTGGAAGAACAAGCAATGGCTGATTTGATAAAAAACAAGCTGAAAGGGACAATTAAGGTTGCAGCGGTTAAGGCCTTCTCTTTTGGAGAACAAAAGACTCAATGCTTGGATGACATTGCAATCATGACAGGAGGTACAAAACCCGATCACCAACCTAACCAATGCAATTACAGTCGCCAACATATTCTTGTTGGTTTTCAGGTACACTAGTGAGGGATGACATGGGACATATACTAGAAAAGGCAGGAAAAGAGGTTCTTGGTTTTGCTTCTAAGGTGGTAATCACGAAAGATTCAACGCTAATTGTTACTGACGGAAGCAATCGTCAAGCAGTTGAGGAAAGGGTTGCTACGATAAAAGGCCAAATTGAGGTACAATTATTCCAGTCATACCTTGAATTTGTATGTTATATCTACCATGTGTGCATTATACTGGATCCTGCAAAGTATTTTACTTTTGAACTCGCAGAACTCTAAGGAAAGGTACAAGAAGAAGATATTGGGTGAGCGGATAGCAAGGTTATGTGGTGCAATTGCAATCATCCAGGTACCACACATTGTTTCAGTTTACGAAGTAAAACATTTAAGGTTTAGAAAAAAAATCAATTAGAGTGCCGAAAATTGTATTTTTGGCCTAAATTTCAGGTTGGTGCTCAAACAATCATTGAGATGAAAGATAAGAAGCTGAGGATTGAAGATGCACTTAACGCAACAAGGGTAGCCTGATCAATCCTATCTACTTCATTTCATGTGTTGTTTTCTAACTACAAGTTCCTAAGTTTGAACCACCCTTTCGGGATAATTCAGGCAGCTATTGAGGAAGGTGTTGTAGTTGGTGGTGGATGTAGCCTATTAAGACTGTCGGAGAAGATTGACGCAATCAAGGAATCATCATTGGATAATATAGAGCAGGAGGTACTTTAAAAGTTTCCTATATTTACCTTAAAGGGTAATATGTTTAAAAATATTGATAATTTGAGGAGCTATCAGCAGATCCTTAGCCTTGTGTAACTTAGATTTTTTAGTAATCACCGTCAAGTGTCAAGGTCTATTGTTTCATGCTGGTTGCAGTAAAATGCACTTCCAATGCAAACCTAAGAAAATTGACAACATGCTATGATTCTATCATGAACTCTAATTTTGAGCTATCCATGTTTAGGTTGGTGCCGACATCTTCAAAAAAGCCTTGAGTTACCCTACCTCTCTAATAGCAAACAATGCAGGGGTGAATGGCGACTTTGTCATTAAAAAGGTTTGTTATTTGCACTGATATCCCTATCTGTTATAGTGCAAGTTACACATATTTTTACATTACAAAGTACACACAGACCACCACACAAATGCACCATACAACTGTGCACACATGTTTGTCTGAGCTCATTTTCTCTACCTAACATGTGTTTGACTTATGCTGTTCAAAGGTGTTACTGAATGATGATGCAAATTATGGTTACAATGCTTCCAAGAACTGCTATGAGGACTTGATGGCTGCTGGAATACTGGACGCATCAAAGGTAGCAAAATAGTCATAGGTGTCTAAAAACATCTCTATGTCACCTTAAACTATATTGTTGATGCTGAGTGGATACTGGTGGAGTATTTGCTTACACCCACAAATATTACCAGGTTGTGAGGTGTTGCATTGAGCACGCTGCTGTGGTTGCTAAGTCCTTCCTCACCTCTGATGTGGTGATTGTTGAGGCAAAAGAAGGCAAACCTATTCGAATAAGACCCCCAATGCCTCCTAGGAACTTAATTCCCCCAATGCCCGCTTCAAGTAATTCTAGAACCTTCAAATATAATAGATACATTTTCATCTCAATATCAAAGTTATTAGCTTAGTTTACTGCATGGTTTCAGTTTCAGGTATTCGAGTGTAGCAGGATTCCTTTCCACCAAGAATCAGCCTCAACACACAAGAATACATGGCCGGTACTTTTTTTTTTTTCAAATTTCCAAGATAACAAAGCAAAGAAAACATAGTGAGAGTTTCACGCCAAGCGTGGCTTTGTATGATTACTCCAAGACGTTCTATTGCTATGACATCATGGAGCAGCAGCGAGGGTGGATGATGTGTGTCATATAGGGAATAAAAGGCTGAACAATTCAATTTTGATGTTCTAATGTTCCTTACCCTTGTAACTATATTTATCTTTTTGAGGGATAGATACTTTAATAGTTCCGATCACGGTCAGTTTAGATTGTTAACAAATGTTTCTCTTACACATAACTTATAATGTATGTCCAGGATTGTTACTCGTTTTGTAAATATTTGGAGCAATCATCTCAAACACACTAGAAACACACCACGCCATCGTTGGAGTGGGACCATTGATAATGTATCCTTTATTCTGCAAATGGGCATATGGATATTGACATTTGTTTGGGTCCATATTTAATTATTTATTTCGTTGTATTTGATAGAGTAGCCGGCCGTGTATTTATCTGGACAGCACTAAAGAAAAAAGAAATCAGAGGCCTAAACTGTAGAGAAGAGGCCAGAAAGATGGATCGGAAACCATTCTCTTTTCAGCAGTACATGGATAGGATATGAGAATAAGGAAAAAAAAAAAAAGAGAGAGAGACAAAGGATTCTAGACGACGGATTATTAGAGAGTACAACATGTGTACCAATCAGATATACACTATGGCTATAAGCATCTGCTAATCGAGAGATAATGCGTAGAAATCATGTTGTCATTTAAAATATCTGCTCCTATTAACAAGCTTGTTATGAAACCTGCATTGGCTTTGCATATAAAAACATGAAACTAAGAATGAAGTATTGAAACATTGAGATCCTCTAAGATGGAAACAATCAATTGTACTGAAAGGATGTTCAAAATAGACGTATACTCCCATATTACTTGGAGTCCGCCAGGGAGAAAGAATCGACGCTTATACAAATTTCTACGGCACGTTGTGACACCTTGCAGCACAAAATCTCCGCTAGAGACCCAGTTGAGACTTGAGAGTGACTACGGTTTTGGGTGGCTAGCATACCAAAGAACATCTTCAGATGTTGAAACTTGTGCAGTTTTGCTATCGAACGATAACTTTATTTATTGCCTCAAAACTTCAACAGGCCATGAAGAGGACAAGTAGTAGTTTGCTTGCTTGACAGGGGGCTAGTATATAGATAGCCCTGTCCTCGGCTCTGTTGTTTCATTGCTGTATTCGCCACTTCCATCTTGGAAATTCTAGTATAAAATGACATTAAATATATAAAGATGTTCTTTGCCTCCTGACTACTACACAGTAAAGCAATAAGAATTTCTACCAAAAAATTGATCTATGTAAGTATTACATTCAAATTTAATTACAGTTTAAACTTGATTTCTCTAAGTATTATAATATAATGACATGATCTAATATGTGAGGTCACTGCTATATACCCACTTACTATATATAAGTAGAAATTTCAATCTATGTGCACTGCATGGACAACACCATGGGCAGTGCGTGGAGATAAAAAAGGGGCTGCAAATATTGTTATAAGAACAAACACGATGCGTTGGCTACGTAACAACTCTTCCAAATCTGTCTTTTTTTTCTTTGTTCAGGGCTTCAGGCCTATGAATCGAATACTAACATATGAATAGCTTAGAGCTTCCATCCCAGCAATTAAGCAGCCAGAATATTCATGTGGTTTCTAATACGGATAATGAATTAGTAGCAGTAAATGCAGCACCTTTTAAGCCCAAACATAGTTTGGAGTATTGCTAAAACTTAGGAAACGAACCTAAATGAGACTTTGTATCTAAATGGTCTCCCAATGTCGACCATGCAAGTAAGTATTACCAGGATGAGCTACATTATTAGGTAAGAATATAAGCAGAAAGAATAAGGAGACCCAGAGCGCGTACCATGGAGACGACGTGCAAGCTGTCGAGCAGCAGCTCACGCGTGGCAGTGGCCGCCGCCCGCTGGTCGAGCTATGCCTGAGTGCGGCGAGTGGTGCGCGGATCCGCGCGGTAGTGACGACGTATGTCTCTCTACCGTAGAGATGGGGTCTGTACTCTACACAAATCAGCAAGCAAAATTTGAAAGGAAAAAGGGAAAAAAAAACTTGCCATTTCATCGAACAAATTGGCTGCATCATCAATGGAAGCGTCGACGCCGGTACTGAGCTCGAATCTCGATAGCCGCTGGCAAGTGGCAACATCGAGGACACGGGAACAAGAGGGGCATGGAGGCTGCAGATGCTCTCGCCTCGGCTTCTGGGCCTCCGTCGATTCTGTCCGCATCGGCGCAGGCGCGACCTTCGCGAGAAGCTTGCCCGCACTCTTCGAGCTCGGCTGCGCGGTCGCGGCTGGGTTCAACGCCGCCTGGGACTCTCCTCCAATCTCCGGTGGGGCCGTGGAGGCAAAGCTGAATGCCCCAGCTGTGTCGTCAAGCCGCGGGCGCGAACAAGGGCGGCTGCGCGCGATGGCCGCGGCCGCTGGAGTTTTCGCTTTCGAACGCGCTCGAGAACGCCCTAGAAAACTCGTTGCCGTGTTCAGCTTTTGATTGGCTCGATTGATCAAAATCTAACGGCCGAGAGACACGTGGCAAAATAATAGGCTAAGTCATTGGTGCATATTTCGTCTATTAAGAGATATGCCGATTTAAAATTATTGATTTTGAGCTACAGCTTTGGGTTGATATCCCACTCCGCTTCTATAGCAATTTTCACATATATGTTTTATTTTCTATTAATCCCACATCCCCACCCACAACCACAACCTCAACCCCAACCCTTTTTTTTTTTTGCGAGGAACCTCAACGCCAACCCCAACACACAAATGGACACACTTTATATTAAGAACAGACAAGACGTTGTAATCAAGAAAGCAAACGACTTCTCTCAACCGGACAGGAGCTCAGGGCCATTATAATCGTTCATTCTAGAGTTGGACTTACGCTGTTTGGTTCAGAAACGGTAACGCAAACGCTAACGTAATAAAAAAAACGAAGGTAACATTAATAAAGTAACAGATCACTTGATTTGTTTGTTTTCCCCACGGTAACGAAATGGAAAGGGAAGATCTGGAGCGGGGCCCACGTCCTAAAAGATCTGGAGCGGAGAAGACATGCAGCGAGCCTACGCTCAGTTCGCTGGGTCTGAACTGAAAAGGTCAGCCGGCTGGTTTCCTCCTATTACACTGTTTATCAAACCAGCTAACAAGATTTCTCTCACACACAACCAGTCAGTTTCAGTCAAGTTTCTGCAAACCGAACGGGGCCGCAAGTCCATTCCATTCCATTCATGAATGCATGCACGCGGCATCTGCTTGGTTGAATGTACCTCGTCCAGAAGATGCAGAACGCGCCACGGGTATCGATTCACGCTCTTATAGCAGGGGTAACAAATTCCTATAGGGCGATATCTAATTACAGCGTGATTGGATTACCTAACTTCCTCGGATGGCTCGAGACGTATTAAAAGGTCTCACCCGACCTCGAGGCCGCGGGCTCCGTCTCGCCCGTCCCCTTGGGTGCGGGCTCCGTCTCGTCCGACCCCAATGACGCGAGTTCCGTCTCGCCCAAGTTAGCGGGCTCCGTCTCGTCCGACCTCTAGGACGCAGGTTCCGTTTCGTCCAACAGGGACTCATACCGCCGCCAACCACTCCAGGTCCAATCGTATGGCCCTAGGTCAAAACTCTGACGCCAGGGAAGAGGCTGGCACGCCTCGATGTAACTCGTGACCATGACGGGCCATACTTGGGGATTCACATCAAGAACAGTGTCGGACGTGCCGGTGCTGTTCTGCCTAATCCTCGTACGGACACTGATAGACGCGTTAATTCATCATGACGTCCGCCGGGACGGAATGGAACGCCATGACCGGCAGATGACGTCTGCGCATGGCGCCAGTGACGAACAGGACCGTGACATGGAGCCGTCCCTATTGACATCTACAGGATCGAGGGACCCGCGTGAAGGAGAAGAAGGACCCGGCAACCCTGTAAGCTTTCTTCTCTCTCGTTCTTCTCCTTTTTCTCCTCTGTAACTTGCGTTTTCTCTTCGCCTACAAAAGGGGAAGCAGGGCGCCACATGAAAGGAGAGATCTAGACACAAGAGCATGACACGAGCACACGACTGAGCGGCAAGCGAGCTCCTAGCACCCGTTCAGTCATTCCACCAGAGACTTGAGATCATCTCCCTCTCTCGTCTGTTTGTAACCCTTACTGCAAACCAAGTGCCGATAACACGAGCAGCAGCGAACTGGGCGTAGGGACGTTCCGCCCAAACCAGTGTAATGTGTCCTCCGAGCACACAATCTAAGCCAGACACGTAAATACAAATTTATTCGTCGGTGATCTAAAAACACCAACAATTATGGTTGGACCGAAACAAACACGATCACACGTTATCTAATACCGACGTAATCGGATGACGTTATAAATCCGTGAACTAAACAGCTCGTTAAGGTTGTGTTTATGCAATAAATCATTGCAGGAAAAATTCAGAGAAGATAATGATATTTTTTCTTAGAAGGAAATTTTATAACGGCCTTTGCTTTTTTTTATTTTTTTTAGAAAGGCGGCAAGAGTTTTGCAGTGATTTTATTAGACGAGGGAATAGGGAAAAACAAAGGTTACAAAAATTACAACTCGACTATTTTTACGGCCACTATAGCTAGGTGCCCAGGCCGCCGGACAAACCAAGATAAAAGCATGAAAAGAACAACTCTAGACCAACTTATAATTATTGTCCCTAAGAAAAACTCCAAACTACTACTCATGAACTGTCTGTAGCGTCGCAAATTGATATTGCATAATGTATAACGGCCTTTGCACAAGGCAAGGAGTCAACCATTTATTTGGCCTGTTCGCTGGGTAGTAAACAATCATAAATTTTCAGTTAGAACAGTATTTTTCTCTCACACCAAACCAGCCGGCAGTAATAATCCACGATCGTATACGATTGTTTCAGCCCCAGCCGAACAGGCTAATTATTAGACTGTTTGGATATCTTTATTTTGAAGGAATTAAAATGTACTTAATAGATTAGACTATTTGGCTTAGAATTTGATATTCCATAACTTTTCTAAGATCACAAATAAACCTATATCAAATTCATAGAATGAGAGATGAAAATAGGTTCTATATATCACTATGCTATAATTCTATTCTCCAATTTATATCACACTCTTCAACTCACTTCTCTATAATAAAAACACAACATACAAGTATGTCCTGATATGCCTAAGAATAAATATACCAATATATTTCATATACATCGATATTAGATTAATTAATCTATATTTAAATTGTAATTATTAAAATGAATTCAAGGATCGCCCTTACAGTCTTAGCTAATCTATCAGAAAACTAACTGGATCATTATTAGTCTTATCTGACCCTGCAGGAAATGAGGGGATTCCTGAGCTGATCATAGAATTAGCCGTATTGAAGCGCTCCTGTTATCGGGTCGACATGGATATCCTCGTCTCTCCTTGGATATATGGAGCATTTTTCATGCCACTCTGCTTCGCTGAGTCGGCTACTCTGTTCCCTGCTTTTCATATTCTGACTCGAAATAGGATGCAAAGCATGCCACTATCAGGGCACACACTTTTGGATACCAAAAGTGACCGAATAGAAACGTTTATTTACATTATTCCACTCGGGTTTGATCATGATTAGTATTCACACACACTCCGCGCGAAGAACGAAACGCACGCTACCGCTACACAAAGATCCGTCGCTTCCATTGAAAAGGGGCGATAAACGATGCAACCATGGAACATGCGTCCTGACTGCTCTCAGTTCGTCTACTGGACCTGCACGTCGATGACCTTGCGCTCCACCTCGGTCTTGGGCACGTTGACGAGGAGCACGCCGTTCTTGAGCTCGGCCCGCACCTTGCTCTTGTCGCACTCGTCCGGCAGCGCCAGGCGCATGTCGTAGGAGCTCACGCTGCGCTGCTTCCACCACCCGTCGCCGCCGCTGCCGCCCTCCGCGGCCTCGTCGTCGCCCTCCTCCTCCTTGTGCTCCCCTCGGATGATCAGCGTGTCGTCCTCCACCATCACCTTCACCTCGTCCCGCGCGAGCCCCGGCATGTCGAACCGCATCTTCACCTCCTTGTCGTCCTCCACGATGTCCCACGGCAGGCGCACCTCGCCGGTCGCCGCCGCCGGGGACCTCCGCGTCGCCATGGGGAACCCCACGGCGTCGTCGAACAGCCGGTCCATCGTGTCCAGCATCTGCCGCATCGTCCGCATCGGCGACATCGGATCAACTAACCCTGCACGCACGCGTCACCACGTGATGTTTAGCCTTGCTCTGCTTGGCAGTGCAATCCTCTGTTTTGGAAGGGGAACAAACCAGTCATGCAACTGAGGACGACTTACCGAACGGGGAGATGTCGAGCGGTGCCGCGCGGCGCGGGCGGCGCTGCACAGCGTTGCCCTGCTGCCGCCTGTTGCCGCCGTTCTGGCTAACCTGTACGTCGACACTGTTGTCCCTGTTCTCCTGCGCCGCGGGCGCCGCGGCGAGCGAGCGTGCTCTCCCGGACGACGCGAACCCGTGCGCCGGCCTCGCCGCCCTCCAGGCGCTGACCGGGAGGCGCGCGGCGGGGGAGAGGCGGCTGGCAATCGTGAACGGAGCAGCTGCCATTTCGCTACTTGGGGTTAGCGGAATCTGTGGGAACCGAGTGCTCGAGACTGTCGTAAGAACCGAACTTGTTTTGGGTGCCGATCACTACCTGTGCTTTGCGCTTTGTTTCCTGGAGAGAGACCGTGGATCTACGGCTTCTTTTATAGGTCGAGTCAGGAGCGCGGTGGAAGGGTGGGGAAAGGCGTTGAAGCTTCCGGAAAGGCGTTGAAGCTTCGCGACGGCGGTGCGGCGTGCGGGCTTCTTCACGCTTGTCGGCTTGTCTTGAACATTCTCGTGCGCTCCGAGCCGCTTCGAGATGATGTCATCTGTCGATTTGCGCCGCTTTGAGTTTCGTGGGCCTTTCTCCGTGGCGGAGAATCGCAAGGAGCTTTATCACGGGCCGGATATATTGGGCCTAACCGGGTGGCGGTGAACAATGAAACAATGAAGGCCATTAAGTGTTAACCCAATTACAAGCCCATGATGAAGCCAGTTACAAGGCTTGTTATTGGGTTGCACAAGGCCAGCGAGTTAGCGCCAATCTTCCGGTCCGAAGTCCCAACTGTTGCTAGGCCACCGAGAGGCGGATGGGCATAGGCGATAGGCCGCAGCTGAATGCTGTCCTTCGTCTAGCCCACATACGTCTGTCAGTTGTTAAGCCTCATCACGGGTTTCTTTTTTTCTTCCTTGGAATCACAACATATGTTATATTTTTCATATACATTGTTTACTTTCATACGTTATATTTTCACATACGTCATACGTATTTGTGAGGAAGCACAGCAGCATAATTAACTTTGAGGAGGGTCTTTTGTTCTTTTTCTTTTTTGCCCATACATTTTTCTTTTCTTTTTTTATATTTCCTACTTTCTCCGTCCTATAATATAGTGTACCGAAACATTAAAACTATATCCAAATATAAAGCATTTTAGAGGATAGGAGATAATTTTTGTATTAAGTAATGCCATAAATTTGATAGATATTATATTGTTACTTGCTATTTATGAACCAATCTCCATTAATCACACCGATTATATAGCGTCTGATTAGAAAATGAAGTAAGGGTATATTTGTCTTTTGTATTCTTCATTAGTTTGTCCGAAAATCTTTAGAATACACTATATTATATATATTTAGAATACACTATACTCTCTCCGTAAAAAAAGACGCTATGGGATGTGTGCTGGTTAAATTTAATTTTTCTCAAGTATGACTAGTTTTATAGGAAATATTGACAACATTTATATCACTAAATAAATTTATTATAGAAAAATATTCCATGATTTATCTAATGATACAAATTATGCAATATAATTATTAATATTCTTTTATAAATAATTGGTCAAAGTAAAAAATGTTCGACTTCTCAAGAAGTGAGAACGATATCTTTGTTGGACGGAGGGAGTAGGATGGAGGGAGTAGTTTTATTTTCATTTTACCTATTTACTTTTGATCATTATTTCCTTTTTTTAGAGACCAAAAGCAATGTTGAGACTTGCTTCTATTCTTAGTTGGATATAGATGTGGAAATATAGTTATTTTTTTGTCAACCTCTCTCTAAAATATGTATGTGAAAATTGGCTAAATTTAAAATATTTTGACTTAGAGTAACCTAAATAGCCTTAGGCCCCGTTTGGACCCTTGGAATTGAATTTATTTTAATAATCATAATTAAGACACTTATTAATTATGCTAATATAGTTTTATATGGATTATATTTGTATATTATTATTGGCTATACGAGAGAGATACTTATGTGTTGCATTTCTACCGTAGGAGAGCTGTCTTCATGAAAGGCAGGTTCATCCTAGAGAGTGTGGTGGCTGCACATGAGATTATTCATGACATACACATGAAGAAGGAGTCAGGCATTATTTTAAAACTAGACTATGAGAAGGCTTATGACAGTTAGTTGGAGCTTATTGGAGAAGATGCTAGAATCTAGAGGTTTTGGTGCTAAGTGGAGGGGGTGGATTAGGAAAGTAGTCCAGGGAGGATCCATTTGCATTAGAATAAATGATGAGAATAGTACTTTCTTTAAGCCTGGCAAGGGGCTCAGGCAAGGTGACCCCCTGTCACCCCTTCTATTTAATTTAGTTGCTGATGTGTTTTCTAGAATGCTTATGAAAGCAGCTAGGGCAAATCTTATTTCGGGCCTGTTACCTCAGGTTGAATCTGGGGGTATTATCAGTCTACAGTATGCCGACGATACCTTACTTTTTTTGGAGGATGACCTCACTAAAGCTGCAAATCTGAAATGGATGCTGGTATGCTATGAACAGTTATCTGGTATGAAGATAAATTATGATAAGAGTGATCTTTTAGTAGTTGGGATGGAGGAGGATAGAGCTAATGAATTTGCTAGAATTTTATGTTGTAAGAGAAGTAATTTCCCAATCAAGTATCTAGGGGTTCCCCTGCACTTTGCTAAGTTGAGAAGAGAAGACCTACAACCCATAATTGATAAGATAGTGAAGAGGATTGCTGGCTAGCAGGGGAGGCTCCTGTCTTATGCAGGTAGACTGACCCTTCTTAAGACCTGTTTGGCCAGCATACCGATTTATCTCCTCTCCGTTATTAAGTTTCCTAGATGGGCCATAGACATGATTAATTCCCATATGGGACACTTTCTGTGGAACAATACTGAAGACCACCACAAATACCATCTAGCTAGTTGACAGTTGGTGTCCCAGAAAAAAGAAATGGGTGGCTTTGGCATCCTTGATTTACGGAGTTTAAATTTAGCTCTTTTAAGTTCCTGGATCTTTAGATATCATTTGCATACCAATTTGATTTGGACTAGGATAGTTGATTATAAGTATAAGACAAAAAACCCAATATATTTTGCTGTCCTGATGTTGGATCCTCACCTTTTTGGAAAGGTGTGATTTGGGCTATGCAGGCTGCCCATATGGGTTTCAGGTGGTTAGTCGGAAATGGGGAAAAAAATTCGGTTTTGGGAAGACCAATGGTTTGGTAATACCAGTCTGGCGATCATCTATTGGCCATTGTATGTTATAAACGAACATCATGGTAAATTCATTTAGGAGGTCTGGGATGGTGAGGAGCTTAAGCTCTCTTTTAGAAGGAATGTGTCTGAAAGTCTTATGTCTCTTTGGGAAGAACTGAGAGCTATTGGAGAAAGTGTTGCCCTCACTAATGAGGAGGACAGAATAATATGGAGTTTTAACTCTAATGGGCGGTATTCTGTCCAGTCCTTGTATGCTGTGATTAACCATAGAGGAGTAGTTCCAGTCTTTGTGCAGGCTGTCTGGAAACTCAGTATACCACCAAGGGTGCAAATCTTCCTGTGGTTACTTTCTAAGAATAGATTGTTAACTAGAGATAACCTTGCTAAACGTAGAGAAGTCAATGACCCCTCTTGTTTGTTTTGCTCTGAGAATGAGTCAATCGTGCATCTGTTTTTGATTGTTGTGTAGCCACAAATGTTTGGCAGTATATATCTGATTTCCTAAATGTGAATATCGGGAAGGATTTTGAATCTGTAGCTGCCTTGTGGTTAGCCAATAAAAAACACTTGACCACTAACATTGTATCTTTTGCGGTTTTATGGGTGCTTTGGAAATTACGGAATCTATTGTGTTTTAAGGGAGTAAGTCGGAATGGACTAAAGAAGGTGCTGTCTATGACTGGAAGAATGCTGAGAGGGTGGCTACCCATGTTCAAGTCGACTGTCCAAGAGAAAGTGGAGTTTATCATTCAACAAGTGGAACATGAAGCAAGCTTGGCGCCGCCGATCAGTTGGAGGCAGGATTCATTAGAGTTGGCACAATCAGATGCTCAGCCTTCGGAGGTCTTAAGCGATATGATCTGGGATCAATGTAATAGGCCTAGTAGTTTCGGCTGTGGACCGGGTTAAACTCTAGTTTTGGCAGCTTTTGTTCGTTTTGGCGGCTTGGCTGCTCTGTGCGCGATGGCGCCTAACTCTGTACTAAATTGCTGTTCGCTTTACATCTATAAAGCGGGGGAACCTTTTATTCAAAAAAACAAATATGTGCTATATTTTACCTATCAAGTTCATATATCATCTTATTTATGTATGTTTAGTTTCAATTAGATCTATTCCAGTTTGAAGTTGATTTCCTTGGAAATCTTCCCCGTCCCAATGCGTTCAAGTTGATTGAATATTGTGTTGAATTATTCAATCCGATTTAGTCAGGTAGTAGACCACTCAAATATTGGAAATTCTAGGATGTTGATTTTGTCCTGAATTTTGAGCTGCAAGTTCAACCATTCAACTTGCTTTGGATATCAATTTTACCGTTGCAGGGTCGAGATGGCAGACTAGAGGGGGGTGAATAGCCATTTCTAAAATTAATCGCGCCGGCTAACCGAAACAAATACGGAATTAAAACTATCGGTCTAGGCAAGACTACACCCCTCTAAGTTCACAGGCACCTTATAAAGATCCTAATTAGACAACAAATATGCCGGGCTAGCTAGAGCTCACATAATCAATTCTAGAGCAAGGTTACACAAACCTATGCACTAGTACTTTGACAACCAGAGAGTTTCTACACATACTAGTGATGTAAAAGCACAAAGCTTCTAAGCTCACTAGCAATGCTCAATAACGAGGCTACACAAGCTAAATTAGAGAACGCAAATTACTTAGCTACACAAACTAAGCAATGTGACTAACAATGTTACTCAAACCAAATTAGTCACGCAAGAGAGCTACTTCTATGCTATACAAGTAAGAAGGTAACTAGCAAGCTATATAAGCTAACTAATTACAAGAGCAACTATATAAGCACAATATATGAAATGTAAATACAAGCTTGTGTAAAGGGGAATGCAAACCAACGGGAAGACAAGGATGACACGATGATTTTTATCCTGAGGCTTATGTGCTTGCCAACACGCTATTCCCTGTTGAAACAAGCTCCAAGGTTGCCGCCGGTCCTCTTGCTAGTGGTGACCCGCAAGTCACACTCTCCCACGTGGAGTGCTTACCACAAGCTCTAGCACTTGACACGGCCAGACCACTTGTTGTCCTT